AATAATATTATTAAAATTAATATTTAATATTTTATAAAGAAATTAACAATTATTTTTAATTTCGCAGGCAAATTTGCTTGCTAGACAATCTAAGAGATAAGTCTATAGTTTAATAATATTTAGAATTAATATGAATAAAGTTTAATAGTTTATAGTTAAATATCTAAAATTTTAATAGTTTAAAAGTTATTACTAATTATAGATAAGATTACTGCATGAAATCTAGGGTTTAATTAATTATTTAAAGGTAAAGGTTTAAACATTTAGTTAAATCCAAAATGAGTTTATTCAAGTAACTTTAATTATAAATAAAATTTTTGTATATTTGCAGATATCATTGAATAATTTAAAAGTATTTCTATTTGCAAATAATTAAGAATATCTAAAATTCAATTTGATCTGAATCTGAAAATCTGAATTAGAGGTTGGAACTGGTTTTGATTTTACAAACTGATTTTATTTATATACTGAAAATTGAAACTGCATATAAACCAGTTTAAACTGATAAACTGATAACCAGTTAAATCAATAACTGATAATCAGATTAAAACTAATAACTGGTTATATTAAAACCAAAAAAAAAAATTAGTAAAATTGTTATGATTCTTAGTTCTTACTTTGTAAAAAAATTTATTCTATTAAGAATTAAATACCATAATCATATAATCTTTATTTATTTGATAAAAATATTATTATATAATGTTAATTATTCAATTATCGTTATTATTATTATTAAAAGTATTAAGCATTAACTATTGATTATTAAAACAAAATTATTAACTTTCTTGTGATGAAAATATTTCAAAATAGATGTTGTTACATTTTAAAAATAAAACCTTATTTACCAAATCAGGTGCCAAATGTGTTTTTTTGCAAAAATATGATTACCAGCATCAGAAAACAATCATTCGTTTGGTACTGAAATTGCTGGGATTGAAAGATATTTTCTCGCAAGTTGTATTAAAGTAGAAAAACTATCTCTATGATTTACTTACCAAATTAAAGGATTTTTTTTAACCTTAATATTCTTTAATTATGCATAACATAATACTTTATCATCATCATCATCTGTATTTATTTGTATATAATCACCTTCAAGATCATAAAAAAATCATCATCATCATCATCTTCTTGATTTCTATCTTTAATGTCATCTGGAACATGAAGATTTATTTATTGTTAATGTATTATATAGAGTTTTTACTAATTGATATGCTTTATCTTGTTCACCATTAGTTGTCCAATTGAAATGTTTAAATCTTGGATCAAGAAATATAACAATTAAGGTATTATCAGTCGAAACAGACTATAATTTATCTAATGAAAGATAAGCAATCCAGTAGTATCAACTAATGGTAAGATTCTACCTGATTTGTATCATCTGTAATACTTTCAATTCGTGTTTATTTTCTAGCTGATCCTTGTTGAGTTTGTTCTTTTCTTTGACCATGAATATTCATTCTTTGATGAAATTGTCAATGCGTATATTGCCATTGTTGATGAATACCAACAGTAGGTATATCATCATTAATTATTTCATCATCATTTTCTTCATAACCTTCTCTATAAATTAGATTCAGATAAGAATCAATTGTTTTATTTTTGTCTAATCTCAAAACAAATTTTTTTTAAGAGACTTTATGTATAGGTGAACAAGATTAAGAGTTGAATAATTTGCATTACACAAATATCGGGTCACAATTTCAATAGACTCTAATAATTTTATAACTTCTTGTAAAAATCTATAATGTAAATAAAAAAAAATTAATAAAAATTAAAAAATATAAAGTTAAATAATAAAATTTACTTTTTTTCTGCAACTGATAAATAAAGATGTTCTAACTTTTCGCCTTCTTTTTGAGAAGTATGATCTGACTCAGAAAGTAATGAAGTTGAAACATATCTTATTGAATTATGCAAATCTAAGATATGTTTACAAGTCATATAGGTGGAATTCCACCTGGTTTTTACATCTATTAAAAAATCAAGAGGACTTCAAATAGTATCTCTTTCAGTTTGATCAGATCCACCTTATATCTTATATAAATGTTGAGCTTGTTTAGGAAGTCAAAAAAAGCTTGCAAGCTTTTGACATGATTATGTATAGCTTTACATTGCTTCAGTCCTTCTTGAATTGATAATTGTAATATTTGCATGGCATAAGGTTGACATTTCACATTTCTAATGTAATTATTATTTAACAGTCATATTTCTTTAAATATATTAGTACCATTATCTGTAGCTAGGGTTCTGCAATTCGATTTGATATTTGAATATTTGATTTGAGTTCAATTTGATTTGATTTGATTTTATTTGAAAAAATCAAATCAAATTCAAATTGTTTAAATATTTGATTTAATTTGATTTTGAGGAACCCTATCTGTAGCAATGGTAAAAACCATTATCTCAAGACACCATTCACAAATTATTCAAAATAACTCCTCATTAATTACTTCTCCGGTATATGGATATGGAAGATATTTATATGAAAGAAGAGCTTTTTGAAAATTAAAATCAGAGGATAGTCAAGTTACTATAACATCCAAGTAACTGTGTCGAGATTTAGCAGTCCATAAATTAGTAGTTAAATGGATGCTCATTACACTACTATGAAGTAAAGAGCAAAGTTGATTTTAACTTTAATTATATGCTTCATGTATTAGTCTCTTGGCAGTTTTAACATATGAAATACGAAATCCCAGCTTGCACGCATAAATAAACTTACAAAAAATTGATTTTATAAAATATAAAGAGGTAAAACAAAATGAATTATAAATTGGATTAATTTTCTTGCTAAAACTCTTGTCTTTTAGCTGAGCATGGTGGTACTGTATTATTTTTATTATTGTAATAATTGGTAACTTGGGTTTAATCACATTTTGGCTAATAAACAAATTACAGGCTATTTTATTATAAAATACCAATATACAAATAACAGTTTACCAAATTTAATAAAATAATAAATTAATAATCTTAACTCCTTATGTCCATCCAAGTATTGAGTATAATTATCCTTAATAATACTATGCTTATCTCGTAAATAGTTTATCAAACTTGTTGTGTTTTTCCACTTTTACGAGTATATACATAGGGCTTTTTATTAGTTCCTGAAAAATTAAGCTCGCATATCTTACAATATGTTAATTCTGCATTATCTTCATCTTTCTGAAAAAATAAGAGGTATAACTTTTATTACTACAATTGCTTGCTATATTAGATTTTCATTTTTTACGATTGTTATTTGATTGTGTAGAACACATAATGTTAGAATCATTATCAATATCCAAAACCAAAGGTGAAGACAAAAAAGAAGACATTTTTTTTATTTTGTAAAATGAACTTTAGTGTAGTACAAATTATAAAATTTAGTTATAATCAGATAATCAGATATCAATAACCAGTTAAACCTTTAACTGGTTATAATAAAACTGGGTTATTAATTTTATAAATTTTCGAACTGATTATAATCTGAACCAATTAAAACTGATTATAAATTCTATATTGATAACCAGTTCTAATCTCTAATTTGAATCTTATTTTATTTGAATTTAATAATTTAAATCTAAATCTAAATCTGACAGATAAGACAAATTCAAATCTAGATTTAATCTAAATCTAACAAATTTGAAATTTATCTGGCAGATTAAAAATAAATATAAATAGTTTTTAATAATAGAGTTATTCTAACATACAAATGATAATTTTGTTAAAGAATAAAAAAATTTTTGTTTTAATAATAAAAAACACTTCTAATTTTTAGGATATTGTTTTATTATTAAAAAACAATAAATTTTAAAATAAAAGTATGATTACAATGAAAAATGATAAAATAAAATATTTGCTTATAGTATAAATATTTGTTCTAAAGAAATATAATTATAAAAGTAATTTTTTTATAATTTTAATAGTATTAGTTTTTATAAAAATAAGATTATAATAAAGAATTTATATATATATTATATGATTATATAGAGGAAAAATATAAAAGAGATTGATTATAATAAATAATATAACATTTTTATTATTTTTTTTAATTATTATTAAATTTAAAAAATAAAGGTAAATGAAATTTCATTATTTTAATTAAATATAATATATTAAATATTAAATTTAAAAAGTATACAAATAGTTATAATTTTTTAGTAATAAGATTTTTTAATTAATATTTAATAAAACTAATTGTATAAAATATATTTAATTTCTAAGTAATAAGATAATTTTATTATTTATTTTGATAATTTTGATAAAACTTTTTTTTATTAATTTTTTATAAATACTTTTTAATGATTTTTAATTTTTCTTTAACATTTACTTTTTTTAATTTTTACAATTTAATTTTAAAAAACTCTTATTATTTATAATTATTTAAATGATGAATTTTTTTATTAAAAAAATAATTAAATATTTTTTTATATAAGACATTAGTTGTAAATTATTTTATATTAAAATAATAGTTAAATTATTAAGAAACTAATATTAGATTAAAATAAAAAAAATTTTCAAAATTTAAATTTAAAAAAAATTCAAAATTATTGATAGTATAAACTTATTTTTTATATTTTTATCATTGATGAAAATAAAATAAAATTATTTAATAATTATTATTATTAGTTTTTTAATTATATTTAAATATAATTTTAATAAAATTTTAATTTAATAACAATAAATTATATATAATAAAAGATATATAAGATAATATAAATTCTAATTAATTTTAATGAATTATAAAAATTTTTTTATTTATTATTAATTAAATTTTTTACAAATAAGTAATATTTTAAATATTAAAAATATATTTAATAAAAAATCAAATTTTAAGAATTAACTATTATTTATAATTTTATATTATAAATAATATTTTTTATAAATAATAATAAATATCTATTTATATAATTATTTATATATTTACTAATAATATAATAATAATAAAATTTTTTTTATATTATAAATAATTATTATTTTATTTTATTTTTATTAACTTTAAAAATTAATATTACATAAATATCTTAAATTAAAAATATAATTTTAAATAAAATTGCTTATTTCAAGCTAATAAACATAAATTACAATTATTAATAAAAATGTTTTTTTAATAAAACTAAAATTTAATATTTATTTTAATAAAATTTTATATATAAAATTATTAATTTAATAAATACTTATTTAAAAATTATATTAAGATATAATTAATTATATATTAATAAAATATTTGAATTATTATTTTATATTATTAAATCTTAAATAATAATTTATAATAGTAATGAAATATCTAGTATCAATAAATTTTTTAATAAATAATAATTTAAATTACATTTTTTATTAAATTAAATGACATAAAAATTTACTTTTAGATTAGCTTTTTTAAATCTTAATTTTATTAAAAATTATTCTTCAAATAATAAAAATTTATTTAAATTTAAATATAATATTTAATTAATAATATATATAAATTTAGAAATTTTTAAATATTATTGTTTTAATTTAAAATTAAATTTATTAATCTAATTATTAAGAAAAAATATCTTTAAGTTTAAAGGCAAACCATTAAAAGGATAGATAGTAAATATATAACTAATTATTATTTTAAAACATTTAACAAGATCCACAAATATTTCATTAAAAAATTCATAAAGCTTTAATATGGGTTCATGCCAATAAATATCGGTTCATGCCAATAATACTAATGGTTATAATTTCTTTTGAAATTCTCGAGAGTTTCCTCGTTATAATTTTACGTATGTACTGTATATAATCCCAATCTGCTACAATAGAATCTTACGACCAAAATGAAATGTGAGTTATATTTAAAATAAAAATAAACTATCTTCTTACTTAGTTACATTTTTTCATGTCAACAATAAAAAGGGTTCCAGTTTCAATATTTCCATAGGTAATTACATATGACTGATTATTGCTTTTTGATTTCGCGCGAAAGATTCATGTTCGACATTGATTAATTATTTCTCAAAATACTGGACTCTCTGATAATGTTACCTGAACTTTCTTTTTTTGGAACTATTTGAAATGGTACGCGTAACGCTACTTTTGATTATATTAAAGTTATTGATGAATTTATAAAGTACTTACTTGTTTTTTAAACGTATTTTACACCAAAGAAATTCTGATAGTTTTGGACTTTTCTTACAAAGTTGTTTTTCAATTGATACAAAATATCTTTTACCAGGCCGATTGAATATATTATTAATTACTTCAACATGAATTCCTTCTTTATATTAATAAAGTACCTATATATTGATAACTAATGGTTTCTTGTGTGTAATTCCCAAAGAAAGAAAATCATCCTTAATATTAAATGCGGTTAACATGTCCATTTCCCACATAAGCAATTTCGCTAATTCTGAAATTAAATTTGATAAAGAATAGCTTGCCGTCCTTTATTTATTCGTCCAGTCGTTAAGAATTTAGCGTAGATTCCTCCAAAAGAATTCCGAGAGTATAGCATTAGCATAAATAATCACGCGTCGTTACAATGGGAAAAGTATTAAACAGTTGAAAAGTTATGAAATACTAATTTAATCTTTTGACAAGCTTTTGAATTTCACTGATATTAACTAGTTTTTTTTATATAATAAATAAATAGAGAAAGAAAATGATGATTATAAATTTTTACAAACATTTTCATAATTGAACATAATATTAATAATAATCGGTGCTTCCTACACGGAGAAATCCCTTGTCACAAATACCATTTTGTTGCCTCATGATCGTAAATCCGCAGCTATTTATTTTACAAGTTAATTAACTTCAATAGGGAAAGTGCTATTCCGCTTTAGTCCGTTTATTTGATAATTTTGAACACAAAAATTTAAAAGATCGTGCCCAAATGCAATGCAATGTAGTTCTTCCATCAGAAAAATTTTTACGAGAGCTGACAAATTTCTATGAATTGTACGAATAACTATTGTGTTTTTTTTCCTCGAAACTACCTATCGAATATCAAATAACGATAGTGTTTCATTCTATGAGTGATTTTGAAACGGTAATGTAATAATGAATGATCCTGAATCGGCTTTCTTTTCAAATCATTAAAATTGATCCCCAAAAAATGTTGTTTGAAAATCATCCTGTTTTTGATATACTGTTTACAAGAAAATAAATTATATTTTTAGAATTTATTATTTCAACGAACGAATTTGACAATTCATTTAAAGATCAAATGATCAACATAAAAAATAATGATGATGTTTGTTTGTAACATAACCCGAGTCACAAAATCACAATCTCAATTATCAATGATTACAAATAAACAACATTTTTGTTGCATTTACAAAATTTGATAAATTGATAAGCTTTATCAACGCCACATATGACGAAAACTTTTAAAAATAAAGTTATCCAAATAAGGTTTCTCGACCCTTTTATAGAAAATTTATGAATTTTGATTATAGACATTTTGATTATAGAAGTGTTGAAGCTCTTTTTTGAATATTGGAAATATGATTTTTTAAAAAAAAAATTGTGGCGTTGAATTCAAGATGATATCACATTTGTGATATATTTAATATAATAAGCCCATATCTATTCTTTTTAACAAAAAAAAAATAAAAAAATTAATTGATCATAACTTTATTAAAAAAGTTCGGTTATAAATAGAGATAAGTTTATACATTGTTATCCTACTACTAGTTAACTTATAATTGTATTAAGGATAAAATCGAGTTCAACGCGTAACGCGTAAAGAGAACCAAACGGTTATATTATATATCAGCGAAAATGTCAAATTTACTTTTTTTATTATTTATATGCGGTTAAAAATATTTATTATTATTATTATTATTATTATATTTTGTTAATAAAGTCATGTATATGCTCAAAGAGAATTTAATGAAATACGGATTTTTTGTTTCGTAATACTTCATTTTGATTACTATAACACGAGACTTTTGTGAAAGCAAATTTCATTTTAATAAACTTTTATTCATATGAACTCGCCTTTGATTCTTTGAGAACCCTTTATAATTCATATGTACTTTATGCGCGAGCTTTTAGTCACTTGCAAAACATTAAACAGTAAAACAATACAAAAGTCTCACATTGTGATGAACGGTGCATCAACTCAAGCTTGATTAGATTCTCGATCAGATATATCATCGTTAAACGCGAAAATTTCTTTTATTTCTTTTTTAAAAAAAGTTCACAATGTCGTTCATGTATTTTTCTCATGTTTGTTTAGTTATCAATCGATTTAATCGTTGCAATAAGTCTCTTCAGATTGTCCATTACATATATTTCATAATCGCTGTATTATTAATTAAATCTCTAACCTTGTCCAATGGTTTGATAGCGTCCGCGGTTACATAAATCTTCAACGGTAGATAAAAAAGCCCATAATGGTTAAAGAAAACATGTATTTGTCAAGGTATCCGATTCGCGATTTTGCGAGAGTGCATCGAAAATGCACTATTAGTCTACAAAAGTTTGCATAAAAGGACGAGTTTAGAAAAGAATAGATATGACGTAATAAGTTATGTAGAATCGGAAATCTCTAATTTATTAAAAAAAAGTGAAAATTAGTTTTTTAAGCTGAAACCAAATGACAAAGAATAATGAATTATGCATGTGCCCAATGTATGACGACTGTTCATTAGTTTCATTAAAAAATATGGTAAATTTCACCCCATTAAAATACATTTTTGGTAATTTACAATAAATTTTTTTTCTCAATTGTATGAATAAACAATGCAAATTTAAAATTAGATCAAAAAAATAAAGGTAGGACAAATAATTTCACCTATCAATTCGATGAAGGAATTTTTTATTTTTATTTTATCTTCCTGATATGGTTAGACTATAAATTAACATACAAACAATTAATTACTAATATTTTATTTATTTTAATTAGTTCTCCCTTCATTAGGTTTTAAGTACGCGTGAATATAAATTTCACTAAACCAAATTTGGTTTAATAAAGATAATTATAATTCATTCAATAATAGTTTAATTAATAGATTGGCTGAAAATTATTATTTAGAATTTCACATTACATTGAGATTGGTCGATATAAATAGTGAGGGATTAAACGAGATTAATTATATATATCACTAGTGAAACCAACGACACATGATGATATCAAAAAAAGGAAATAAGTTATTTGTTTTCGTCTATCAAAAAAAAAATTAAAAAAAAAATGATTTTCATTTTTCCGATATTACACATTTCAAAAATACAATGAATTTAAAAGTTATAACCGAATATAGAATCATATCAAAAATTTTATTTGAGAACCGTGCTTATTTTCTATAAGGAAACGCATTTCTTTTCGGATAATGTCCATTATAGGATATATCTTTCTTTTTACGATTCTCTATTGTTAACCTAACAATGTAACTAGGTAATTCTCGATCTAAAAATTGTTCAGCGTACCTTTTCATTACTTCGCAATTAATGTCGGTTGTTTGCAAAAAAAATTGGTTCGAATTTGATCCACAAATCTATTTTTATTCGGATGCATCAAAAAAAAAATGCTAAATTATCAATCAAGAAGTGAAGTGATTTTCTCCATAATAAATACTATTTATTTGCCAAACTTGGATCGGATTTTCTTTCAATAAAGTCATTCATTCAATGAAAAAAGGATCTTTCACTGTGCAAATAAATATGGTTCGTCGTGCATCGCATATTTATGATTCTATCAATGATTAAACATCGAACATTTTCAAGATTACACAAACCACGTTTATTATCACAATGAAAGCCACCCACCGCATATACTCCCTAGCCACAATAAAAACCAGTTTTTCCAAATCTAGATTCATTAGCGATAATAATGTTGGCAAGATTTGTCCTTGGGATACACAAAATTATAAATTCTCAATAATGCTATTGTAGCAAGTTCAGTGAGAAAATATTGGACAAATATTTACTTTTATAGAACTTTATTTATATAATTTTAAATTTTCGTGTTCCATAATTCTTTTTCTTTTGTTTTGATATTTTAAAGCCTTAACCTTAATAACATAATGTTACTTTGTAATATAATATATATTTATATATTTATTTATTTATTATATTATAAATAATATAGATCATTTCCTTCTCAATTTCGAATTTTAATATTATCTGTTTACTTTTTTTAGATATTATTCAATAAAAAATTTTTTATATTGTTTTAAAATAAAAAAAAAATCATTTAACAATTAAAAAAGGAGCTTTTCCGAATTCAATAATGAGATGAAAAGTACTGAAAAGTTTCTTTTTGTATCTCAATTTCGTTTCATCTTTCATTAAGGAGGTAAAACTTGCATAACAACTTATGAAAGCAGGATGATTTTGACAAGAAACTTTTTTTTTTCACCATATTGTAACAAATACATTAAATCTATATTTAATTGTCTGCTATTAAAATACATACCGAGTTTTTAACCAAATTACATTTTTGGTAAATCCAATCAATCCATCAACGTTTGTTTTGTTTATCTTTCTTGCATACGTAATCCAATGAACACAACATGTAAAAATATTCTCGAACCATTTTTCAAATGATATGATAAATCAATTTTTTTTTACACTAAACCATTTTTTATTGTTTCATTCAGGAAAAAAAGAATCACATTCGGCAACAAAAGAAAAAAATTATATTGTATTAATTGTATTTCTTTCAAAATTTTGATTAAGTGACGAAATAATTTTTATTATAAAATAAATTCCATTTAAAAAAAAATTGGGGATTTCTTTATTCTTTAGCCAAATTTGACATTGTTATGCAAGTGATCTAGAACATTATTAACCCGTTAGATGTACGCAAAGACTGTTGGATTTTCTTTTTACAGTAACAAGAATAAAACTGAAAAATTATACAGTAAAAGAAGTTTTTTTTTATTTTTAATTTTCTTTTAAGGAATAAATTATATACAAAGAAATTTTTTTGGGGGGAAAATTTATAAACAGATAAAAGATATGAATGACTGACTAAACTAAAATGTCAACATCATTTAATCTAGCCAGAAATGAAAAATTGAGTGATTTACTTTCCGGATTCCGGAAAAAAGATATTTTTAGATTATGACATAAACAAAGAAAAATAAGAATAAAAAATTTTTTTTCCGATTACAATTATGATTATTATTATTTTTTTGATTGTCAAGATTTCCAAAATGGATCTACCATGCCCACTGATGAAGTATTAGAATACATCTCAATGAAGTTAAAGTCTTCCATCGTAAATGATTGAGGTGATCTGGTTGATTGAGTGAATGCAAATCCAAAACGTTCTGTCTCGTCATCAGAAATCGCTCTCATGTGATCAATCGATGAGTTGGAAGGTGAAGATACGATATCACCTAAATCATCTTGAAGCGAAGGTGTTGGAGATAAGAGAATAGAATTTGTAATTGGCAAGATGTCATCATTATTGGGTTCTGAAAAGCCGGAATTCGGTTCAGGTGAAAGCATGGTCATGGTTGTTGAATGATCCCAAAGATCAATCGGTATCGATGGGACGTAATGAGCGAATGTCTGTGGTGGTTGAAACTGAGCTCTTTGCGGATGATGAGGTGCTTGTCGTCGAGGTGGTGGTGCTGGCTGCGATGGAGCGGCATGTGTGGAAGATTGAATGTGAAATGCCATGATCGGAACATCATCAATTGGATCATTTTGATGCCAGATCATGGTGTGCGCTTGTTTCGTTGGCCTTATCACTATTTGACCTCCCGCCGGATATGGTTGCTATAAAAATTATCATTGCATACATTTGAATGAATTAATTTACGTAACGAAACGAAAATCATTCTTTAATAAATAAATTCATATCATGCTTACAGTTCTCTTATTTCCTCTTTGGTTCTTTCTTTGTTTGGAATTATTTGTTTTCTTTACATTTTGAATTTCGGTCTTTTTATTCTTTCGTGCACTTTGCACGGTTCCATGGGCCGGTTGTGGATCATTCAAAACCGTTGAAGAGTTCAAGTTCAATTCGGTTGAAAAGATCGAGTTTGATCCGTGTGATTCGGTAGTTTTTGGAATGGTTGAATCGGATGAGAATATATCAGTGTTGGGTATAACAGGAGAGGAAAATCCCAAAGTTTCAGAGTTCCAAGAATTATAATCAAGAAATGATGAATCCAGAATAGTTGAATCTCCCCCGGTGATGATTTTATCGAGTTCATTCACCAGAGAACATAGATCATTCCATATTTGGATTTTCACGTTTTTATTTGAGGAGGAAAGGATTTTGAGTTTGGTACACAATTCATCACGTTGATTGCCGGGTAACTTTGGATCTTCAGGATTTCTCATGATTTCATTATAAAGACGTTTTAAAATATTCATTTGTTCGGTTGTCGTGTCCGGATCCGTAAATAATTGGAAGAAGAGATCTGATTTGCACGATTCGTTATCGACCATTTTATGTTGCAAAGGATCATTTTGACGTTGATTGGAAATTATTTCGCATTCATTGATTATGACCTCGCCAACGTCGGATGAAACCAAACCTTCATCATTATCACCTTGAATTCTGGTGACTCTCAATCTGGTTGGTTCAGTGTATTCACAAAATTCATTACGATCACGACAGTACCTGCAAGGTTTTTGCGTTAAATAACTACCATCGCATTTCTTTTTATCGCGTTTGCATTTATTACAAGCGACAACATTAATTCTTCCACGTTTCCTTGTGATGTGTTTTGTTGACATATTTATCTTATTTCTGTTATTTTTTGTTATTTTTTTTTTTTTTCTTTCTATTGAATGGATAGGTTGTGTTATTATTATTATTTTTTTTTCTGTGAAATTTATTTATTAAAAAATGATTGTTTGGAACGCTGAAAAGAATTGAGGTATTTATAAAAAAAAAAACACGAAAACAAAAACAAGTTTATTTTTTTGAAATGATATTTATTAAAATTTGTACATTAAAGAAATATTTATTATGTGTAAAATTTCCCTATGTGATACAATTGAAACTTTTACTTTTACTTTATTTATATATATATACATATACTATAAAAATTTTTTAGAATAAAAAAAATTTTTTTTTTTTGACAAAGGATTTCCCAGTAGCTTGTAAAAAGTAAACTTTGCTTTTTTTGTATAAAAAATGAAAAAAAAAAGATTCTTTTTTAAAAATGTATAAGTTTTGAAATAAATAAATAAATAAATAAAAAAAAAATTTGATTTTTTTTTTATTTATGGGGGTCATTCAAGAAGTTTCATTTATTTCATATATCAATCATCATGTTAAAAATGTTCTTGTTCTATATAAAATAGTAATTTTTGATCTTCACATTGCAGGAAGACAAAAACACATCTTTATTTGATCGAAGTGTAACGAATTTGTGGCTACGATGAAAGGTGGCTTCCTAGTGGCATATGATAGAGTAAACTAAAAATAGCAAAGTGGGGTAAGATTCCTCTATAAAAAAAATGGAAAAGAAACCCCCTTTTTTTTGTTCAAGTTGGAAGAAATTAAGGTTATTGAAAGACCTCTTGTGGGAAGATTTATGGGCGCAGGGGATAAAAAAATTGTTTGTTTAGGCGCTGAATTTTGTGGTTTACTATTTTGAGAATTTGTAAATTTGTATCAAGTTGATACTCACATGTGCATTTTTTGTTTGATTCAACGGAATTCGGATTAAATTCTATTTTCAACTTTTTTTCTCAATTAACAAAAACTCATTACGGAATGTCAAAAAGAAGAAATTTGCCAAGACGTTTAAAAAGTAAGCCCCAAAGAACACTCAGCGGCATACAAACAATGACTCAGCATAATTTTGCCCTTTTTAAAAAGAAAAAAAAAACTTGTTATAAACTTGTTGAGATTTCCAATTATTTTATTTATCAGTTCGTTGTTAAGAAAGACGTTGCAATTGTGCATTATTTGTAAAACCGGTTGAGCTTATTTGAACCATTGAATTCCTTTCTGATTGGAGAGACAATGGAACCCATATATAACTATTTTTTTTCACAGCAATTGTTTTTTCCAATTCAGAATAATAGATTGTTATTTTAAGAAACAATCATCGAAACCATTTATCTTTTCAGGTCAGACAATACCAAAAAAGCGTTTCGAAGTTTTACACAAATAAATTTTGAACTTTAGGCATATTTTTTTTTATTGATGACCCTTTTTTTTTTTTTTTAAAGTTGGGGGGGTATCATTGGTATCTCGCGTGAAATCTTCTGTTCGTATGTTGTTATTATTTACTGATCGCATTATTATGATGATTTGCACCGTCAAAATCAGTCAGATGTTTAAATGATTCTAATTGGCCTTTCAATCAATGCGAATTTAGAAGATTGTGCTAATTATGTTAATTATAAACAAGGAATGGGTCGTTTTCATAAGATGGAAAAAATCCTGATGGGAAAAAAAAGAGGTTTAATAAAATGGAACAAAATTAAATACTTAATTTTCACTTGCGCTAAACTTATCTTATTTGCAATTCCACTTTAGTAAATTTTTTAAATCAAAAAAAAAAAAAATTTTTTTTTTTTCATTCCCTATTATTTCTCAAATTAGTTCTAGCTCGAATGATAAACAGGTTTTAGGTTTTTTTTCGATTTTGTCACGGATTCTCGTCTCCGGATAAAAACGGAGCTAACTCCACTTTAATTCATTGAACACAACATCTGATAGTAAAAATAAATTTGGATGTATTTGATAACACGTTCAATCATCATTAATTTTTTTTTTAAAAAAACCTTTGCAAATATCCCCAATTATGAGATGTTTGTTGAGTTCCAAATTAATTAAGTTTTGGATTATCGGAGATTATAATAACTTCAACTATGGGTTTTTAATTGGTGGTGTAACTATTGTTGGTATAATAATCATAATTAATTATCCTACACTGTGCTGACCCGCTGCTACGCGACTATCGAACCTTATTCGAATTAGACAAATTCCGACGCTGTGGTGACTATTAAAAGAATTCCGTTTCTACAATTCTGTAAAATGAAAACTCCAAATTAAGAAATAAAAAAAAAAAGAAGTGGTAATCTATAAATAAAAGAAAGGAAACCCTATTAAATTATTGTTTGAAAAACTTAAAAAGTTTTGGAAAATCTTTACCGGTGAAGGTAAAAACTGTGATACGTTCAAAAAAAAAAGGAAATAAAAAAAAAACTTTATTTGGAAGAAACGTCACACAATCATTTGTATGGTGATGATAATGTAAAAATCTGTGAAACTCCAAGAATGTAAATTTGGGCGAACTTCGTTTATGTAACCTTTTCGTCGCGTAACAAATCAAATAACATGTTCACGCCACAACTAAAAATAATCATCATCTTTTTTTACAATTGAATATTTTGAAGTAACATTGATCGTTCCCCTTTGAATGATAATGCATGAACTTTCTCCCCCATAAAAACCTTATGATTAAAAATAGCTAAAAGTATTGTAACAACTACAGAATTTCTAACTTTACTTGTTTACTTTTTATCGAAACCACGTCTTTAATCATTCAAGATACTGCGAGCAAAAAAAATACGCGTTTCAGAGAATCGATTTGGTAAATGGACATCCATTTCCAACTAAGTCAATAATAAATAAAACAAAAATGATTTCTTTGTTCGATTGATTGTTAATTCTTAAATCATGAATAATATTTATCAAAACATATATCATATCATGCATATTATGGTGAGGAGAATTAGACAATGAGACTTTATACAGCTTATAGAAAAATGCGCATGGATGCTTATAGATATATAACTTTAAAATATCACATACTTTGATGATGTTGATTATTTACAACAAATAATCACTGCGCAAACATTAATGTTTGCTTTTTATATGCATGGGACGGCGTTTTGTCATGTGTAGATGCCAAATATTGTCCTTTGTTCATTAAAGTTTTAGTAATATAGAAATGATTTCATTACATTGCATGACATTTTTTCCAAAAAAGTTGTATTGTGGCGTATGATGACCAGCCACGAAATAAATAAAAATGCTATCCGAATTCAAAGATCAAATTATCAAAACATTCATAACAAAGATCAGAGATAGCTTGTTTGATGCGCTTATATGTGAGGGAATTTGATTACAGTTTAAACGCTACCTTTTGACAGGGTTTCGATTGATTAACATAAATTAGAAAGGATAAAACTTTCCCCTTAAAAATATACAAATTTATATTCAGAGGTTACTCTTTATTCACACTAAATTTTGATACTCATTTGGAGAATGCGAAAAATAAGGTGTTTCACTTTTTTTTTTTTTTTTTTAGATTATAGATTCTGACAAAGCCAATCCTTAAAATGTTTATTTATTAAAAATAATATTTTTTTTTGAGTTATGCGAATGCTGCATATCTCGTAATTGACAGACCAATAATGATCCATTACCTATTTCCATTTTCAATATGAAAACTAATGTAATTTTTAAAAAAGGAATCGTCATGTCATCCAAAAATTTCTTATACATGATTAAATAGCTGCTGTGTAATAATGTCTTTGAATAGACATAAGCCTTTATCTTTTTTTTTTAAAATAAAAAAACAAGGTCATGCGAAGGGATTTTGATTTACTTGTTTTGAAATCCAGAATTTTTGTTTTGGTGACAAAAATAAAACATTTTTCATTCGTATGTGCAAAAAAAAATAATCATCAGCATTATCGTCAAGCAATATTATCAATTGATTTCAAAGGGTTGTAAAAATTAAAATTATGGTAATTTATAAAATATTCAGAAATAATGTGGAGATATTTATTGATAAAGCACGAAGTTAATGAAAAGGATTTGGATTCATTCATAAAACCTTTTTGACCCCTTGCATTTAATAATTTTATACTGCTGTAAATAAAAACCTTTTATTTGAATTGTTCTTACATAACCATTAAGCAAAGATTTTGAAGATGGTTTAGGGAATAAATTTTAATCCTTCCTAATTTTTTATTCTTTACAAATGAGACACGAGGCAAATGCAAAATAAAGTTATTCGGAAAGACATTTTATGAGAGGGCATTGAGGGCAATGCGTGAAAAAGTTTCCTAATAAAAAAAAGATTGTAATGGAGAAGATGGCATAAAATATATTATGTTTTTATCAGCTTTATCATATGATTTTACTTTGTGAATTAACAAGAGATCCTTACTACAAACCTTCGCGATGCCAATTATTACTCGTAAGCAGCGCATCTATGGTTGACTTTTAATGAGACAATTTATAGCTTCAAACATGATTTTCATAAATTACACCAAAAGTTATGAAATCTCCGGATGTTACATATAAGAGATTTTAATCCTTTATATATGAAAATTTCAAAAGTATCCCGGCAAACCTATAATAGGTAGCTATTTAGAGGAATCTTTTTATCTATTTTCTTTATAAATACTAACAACTACTGAAACAAAAGAATACTCGTATGATTTTGTTATGAAAACACCCATAAATATATGAATATATGAATAGTCATTTCCAAAAATAATTGCTTAATTCTCATAACCGGTTCATTCCGAGAAAATTCATTTTAAAAAAATATATATACACATTAAAGGAAAAACGAGAGAGGAAATTCAAATTGATAAATAAATCCTATAAATTTAGTTTATAACATTTATCGCTATACATTATTTTTTATACATCTACAAAAGTTAACGGAATCGATGAATATTGAAACAAGGTATAAAACGTATAAAACGCGTGTAATTTTTAATTCTGGTGATGTAAAATTGACGTTAAGAATATATGTCATAGAATTGTATAATAGCTCGTCTATTAAATTATTCCTATTGATAACAAATGCTTTAGCAATTAATGATATTAAAGATATTAAAGTAGAACGTGTTGACCGCCAAATTTAAAACATTTGAAAAAATTCATAACCATACTATTAAATATGAAATTAAAATAAACTTAATGCAAATATATTTCGTGTCGTTAATTTTATTATTGCCACATCAAAATTTTAAAAGTTTTCTTTTTTATTAAATTATATAAATATGATTTTTTTACCTAATGTTATGAGAAGAAAATTTCTAATGCAGCCCGAAAAGCACTAAACTTTAGAATTAATCATGTGAAAATGCTGGGAAATGAAGTTTTTAAATCGATCTTTATTAAAATAAATTATACAAGAAAGAGAATCATAAAACTAAAAAATCATCACAATATTTAATGCAATGAGCGATCAAATTGTTAATTAATGTTCATCGACATGTGATTTTCTTGATGTGCATGAGTGATGTTAAAAAATTTTAAATCTACAGTAGTGAGTAGTGGTAAAGTATGTAACGACCTCCTCCTAAAAATTTTCAACAAGTTCAATGCACCACTATGCACAGGAAAAGAAATAAAGACGTTAATTAATCTTGATATTTCACTAATCCAAAAAAAAAAACAAAGATTCTATACCTCATCACTATCTTCAAGTTTTTTATCATGAGAAATAACTTCTTGGAAAGTCTCATTATAAATAGTAATTTGATATTCATGACTACGCAAAAAAGTATTATCTTTTGCATTACGAAGATTAACGATATCGCTAGATCTTACATAAGAGGAGTCATATTTTGTATAATTGATTCTTTGAAACAACCAATGATAATTGAATTGTAAAGTTCTTGAAGGCGTTGAACAATACACTACAAAAAGAGAAACAAGGATGTAAAAATAAAAATAAAAAATAAAAATCTCATTTAATTTTTGAAATTTTAAATGCTAACCTTCAACGTGATCAGCAAAATCACCGTCTATATAATCATTATATAAAGAGTGTTCATTAAAAACAGATTCACGCCCAATGAGAGTATCCGTAGATTTATGTTGTAATGAAAACATATCATTATAGGAAATTTGATCTCGGGAAGCTTTAATGACCCATAATGCATCTGAATCTGGTAACGTTTGACCCGCAAATATCTATTCGCAATCAAAGAGATTTTATATATTATATATATTTTTGAAATTAAAAAAAAATAAAAATATCCTTTTTTCAAGTATTACTTACTATTTGTTTTCCACTTCCAGTTTGATGATATTTTGTAGTAGAAGAAAGATATTTTCCGGTTTTAACATGTTTTATAGCAACACAAGAACCATTTCTAATTAGATTCGATTCTTCTTGAACAATATCTTCAAACATTTTAATTAAATCATCCAAAGAATTAATATTATTCATCTTTCTATTAATAAAAGTATTTCTAAAAAAATCATTAGGTAAAGCATGAAAGAGATATCTTTTTTGTTCTTCCAAGTCAATGATTTCAGCATCAAAACAAAGTGCACGAAATTCTGCAATAAATTTCGCCGTATTACCACCTTCACGTTCCGTAATATATTTTAAAAGATTCAATTTTCTTTTAGAAGAATTTTTAAATACTGTGAATGAAATATTTGATTTTAATGCTTCTACAAGATCTTTTAAAGATTTGATCTTTTCAGGATTCTTTATTGGTACATCAACCATTCCAATGCAAAATTCCAAAATTTCTTTTTCACCTTTTATTTGTTTAAGGTAACAAAATGAACGAATTTGTTTAATCCACATCTGTGGATGAATAGTTCCATCAAATCTTGAAGGATCCATAATAGGAAAAATATAAATATAAATACAACGGAAAAAAAGAAAATGGAGATTTTTTTTTTTTTAAAAAAATGAAAATTTTATAGCTTGATTTATTGTTCGTTGATCATTGACAATTCATGTGAGCATAAATCGCGGACACACTATATTCTAATCGTTAATACTGTATATCATTAAACTTTCACGTGTTCGGATTTAAATCTACATTCTGCATTTTTCAATTTATACTTTTAGAACGATTATTCTGATATTGGAATAGGGTATATTTATTAAAATATGGGTATGATTGACATATTTTAAAAAATACGGGTAAAAACGGGGTTAAAAAAACCAATTTAATAAGATTAAATTGCTAGAAACATACTTTAATTGGTAATCTGCATTTGCCCAATGTAAAATAAATATCATCATATAATTTGTATTTGGTTTTTATGGATGATTTAGCGTGTGAAGGAGATTGATTATGCAAGGATAATCAATGAAAATGAGATGATTTCTGATATAGTTAAGGCATATAATAAAATCAAAACGTAAGCTATGTCAATTAAAGAAGATAGATTTCAAAAATAAATACGGAAATAATTGGGCAGAGAAATTCGAATTTTTCTCAGAGATGCAATTATGTGTGAACATTTTATTTCTCTCTTGATTATGTAATTGAAAATTATTTTAAAATTTCAAAATTATCATGTGAAATTACCAACACTTTGATGCTATTAACAAAATCTGGAAGAAATTGACCCTTGTCAATAGTGATATTTGGATTAATTATATATTGTGTATAAATCCTCCTCATTTAAATCATTTTTTCGCGTTATAATTTCGCGTTTTATAAATATTGATATTCCCAAAATAGTCGAATTCATCTTGACCAATTCTTAATCTGTCGTTATTCAAAAACAAAATTTTCATATAACATTATCATGAAGAGGTTTCATTGAATCATCCTCTTAATACCAACAGACTTTTAATTCACTAATTGATTCGGATAACTTAAAAGCATGTTTGTACATTGTGATTATGTTTATTCTTTATCGTTAGAACGCTGGATGCTAAACTTAACATTTGATGTCCCATACAAATTCTTTATTAAAAAATAAATGGGAGGGGGGAAAGGTGAATTCTAATGTACATATAAATGTGTAAAAATTAAAAGATTGGAATTTTAATTCTTTCAATGCTATTTTAAAATTATCAAAAGTCGCTGGATCACCGGGACTGTTATTAAAAGAAAAAGATTAATTAATATTTTAAATATTTGACACTTTATATTCCTGTGTAGTTGCTAAGCTTATTTCTACATGATTAAAATAGGATAGAAAATTTTATTCAATATAAAAGTCTAAAAATTAGTAACTATGATATGGTAAAAGATGTATAATTTTGCTTCTTTAATTGGAAAATAATTAAAAAAAAACACAAAACAATAATGTTATTATCATTTGGATCAATCCCACTAAACTTTTCCATAAAGGATTTTTATAAGCCAATAATATAAAGAAGGTTAGTTTGAAATAAACTTTCTCCTGAAATCACACACTATTTTTGCTATTATAAGCGATGTGGATTTAATGTTTATCATGTAAATCATATGATCAGTAATGTGATTTTACTTGGCAACCCTTCCAAAAGTTAATATCGAAAAATTTAAAAAAAGGAAAAATATCAATATCTATTTATTTTTATTATTATTAAAACCAAGCATAAAAACGTTTGGCTTTTTAATTGGAAAATAAAATAAAATAAAATTCAATAAAAAAAATGTTTTTTTTTGATCATAGTTAAATATCACCTATTAAAAGATAAATTTTATGGTTTCTTATATTTTAGAAATTCTTCACGAAATTTTTGGGACCTGCATCATAATTAGGCTCTAACGTTCGATTCGGAACCGAACCGACCGAATAAATTAAAATTATTTAAAAATAATAAAATTAAATAAAAATCATGATGTAAAGTATTATTCAATAATTATTTCATTACTTAAAATTGTTTATTATTTATTTTTATTTTTTATTATTATTTATTACATTATTTTTTCACTACTTTAACTATTTACTAAATTGTTATCCATCCATTCTAATGCTAGAATGTAAATTTTATTTATAGGTGTTAAATTTTGTCAAATTTGTGTAAAATATTAACAATTTTTCCTAATAGGAGTAGATGGAGTTGAATTGTAAATGAGACTTTATAAAATTCAAATATAGATTGTATATGAGTACAAGTATTTGATTTTGATTCACCTGAAAAAACTAATAGTTTATTTCAGATATTTAAATTGCTGAGATTGCTAAAGCACTATTTATAATTATACAATATTTATTAATTTTATGAGATATTTTACTTGCAACTTCACATACTGTAAAACTATTATCATTTGCATACTTTTCTAGATAAGTTTAAATTCTTGTAAAAACAAAATGAGTATTACTTTTAGTAGGATAAAATGATGCTAATAAATATTTTATAGCCTTTATAAAGATTCAAAAAATAATAAAATATCCTATTGAAAAATGATTTATTAAATTAAAATCTATATAAACAAATAAATAATATTTTTTTTAAATTTAATTTACCTTTAATTCCAATTATTATTGTTAGGATAAAAAGTATTTATTAAAGGATTATTAGCTATAAGTAATAATAATACTGATTCAAGTTCTTTAAAGTATTTTAACATGTAATATGTTGAGTTCCAATATATATGTATATCCAAAATTGGTTTAAGATATTTATTTTTTTTTAAATTACAAAATGCATAAAAAGTGAATCACAAAAATGAGATGATTTTAATATTACACATAATTTGATGTATTTTTAAAATAGAATTACTTATTATTTTTAATCCTTTTATAACTTCTAGATTTAAACATATATAGTAGAATAAAGGTATAAGAAATTCATTGTAAAAAATCTATTGTCAAAAACTAAGAGAATTTTTTTTCATAACAGAATTATTATTAGTTGTAAATGTGATGATTTTACTAGAAATATTAAATTTTTTTAAAATAAGCATAATGTCTTGTGTAATATTTACTTCAAAATATTTAATTGTAAATGGAATTATATCAAAAAAAAATTATAAAGTTTCTAATTAAAATCTATATAATGAAGAGTAATTCCTAAAAAAACCTGATTTATTATAGAAGTCTAAATATCAGCTATTAATGAAAATTTTCATGTGATTTAATAAAGTTTTTTTAACAATATTATTTTTTTAAATAGTAAAAGCATTAATAATCAAATCTATTTAAAATAAATAAAAGTTATATATTATTGTATAATAAAAAATATACAAATATAATGTAACCTTACTTTTTGCTTTATGTTAATCAGAAATAACATAGTATAAACAAAAAAAATTAACAAAACTTTTAAAAAAAAAGAGTTATTAACAATTACAAATCATATATTAGCTATTGAATAAGATATTTATTATGTTTATTTTGCTTTTGTCTATTAAAAGGAATTGTAATATTACTTTATATATATATTTTTAAATACTTAAAGTTGATATTTGAAGATATTTTTATAAGGATAATATAATTATAGAAAATTTATATTTTTTTGAACTTATTTTGCAAATATTATAATTTAAGTATAATCTGAATTTTTATTAAAATACAATTATACACTTATAAATGCTCTTCTGAAACTCCTTTAAAATATTTTCTTTATATCTCTTACTATGTTTATAATTAAAGATAGCTTCTTAATCTATTTTCAAAAATAGTTTTAGTTACAGCCTATATAAAATATAGAGTTGCAAGTTGCAATTAGTAAAACCTAGTTGCATTAGTCAAAATCATTTTATTTAGCATTAAGAGAAGTCCAAAAATTATGTAATTAGGACTAATATATGATATGACCTATTCCTTCCTGTGATTATTCTATGTAGATAGATAATCTATAAACGAATCTTTTTTTTATACAATTTTTTTTCAACTATTCTCTATTATATATAAAGTTAAAATTTTTTAAAAATTTGAAGTATGTAAATTTTTTTTAATAAAGATGCAAACCTTTTAATAAATCTGAGGTTTGATAAAAAATATCTATACAAAATTCAACACATTTATATTATAAAATACCATAAAATGACTGAACTTGTGAATTCAAATTCACCAAACAACAATTAATAGAGCAAACAAATATTATATAAATTGAAGCAAAAGGAAAAATATAAACGAAATTAAAAATATTATTACAAATTTTCTAAATATTCCAGTTTTATTAATAGGAAATAGGTTTCAAGTTTTAAATTTCAGACCAGTTCGTCATATTATACTAAGGCTTATACAGGTTTATTCTGAACTTAACAGACAAATCAAATAGCAACAAATGTAATACATAATACAGTATTATTAGTAAAAAGAAATATACATAAAAATATGTAGCAGAGTATACTACTATGCTTGATATTATAACGATAGTTCTATAAAAGTATCTTATACATCAAATAAATATAGAAAAACAAATAATAATACAATAAAATAAATGACTTACCTATTTGAAATAACATGCAAAGCATAAGGAAAACTTCAGAAATGGAAACGTTAATTATTAGAAAATAATATTGTAGAAAAGTATGATTCAACTAGTAGACCCTCATATTCTCTTAAAAATTTAGAATTATATAATCAGTTGCATACTATTACTAGCTAAAAATTCATTATTATAAAGTTGATCTACAAAGAAATCTACAGAAATTACTGGAATTAATTTTATGTTGATCATGAAACTAAAAGATCAGCATAATTTCTAATTTACCTGATTTTTTGGATTCTAAAAATTTACCTGATTCATCAGGTTTATCTGATAAGCCATATAAACTAAATAATTATTATAACATTTATTTTTATTATTTAATTATTATCATTATTTCTATTATAATTATTATTTGTTATTCTTATTATTATCATTATATTAATACTTATAGTTACAAATTTAATTAGTTTATA